GTGCAAATTTGAATTATAGGCCATATTTTTAAGATTGTTCTCTCGGTTATTAAAGAGTTTAAAATTGGGGTTGAATTTAAAAATAATTTGGTAAATTACTATGACTAAAGCTGTAGTTTATTGTATATTTAGTTTATGTAATTGATATATTCACATTTGGAAAAAAGACACAGTTCGTGCTTTCAAATAAATGACAAGGAATTGTTCTATCATGAATTTGTATCAGAACTCTTCAAACTAAAATAAACTGAGGCAAGGTCTTGTTCGTTAGATAAGTTGATGTGTATAAAAAGCATCTAGCAAGGTGCTTGGCACATGGCAAATACTTGGAAATTATTAGTTATTGTCAGGCTATCTTTAATCTATCAGCTAAGGATGATGCACCTTGAATTTCTATAACATCTTGCCTTTTATCTTCTTTATGAAGGGTATAATGTATATACTTAATGCCTCCTGTATGTGCAATATAACTTTGAGCTAAGAAAATTGAAACTCCAATGACATCGTAACTTGTCCAGGTGGCACACATTTGAGAATTCAACCCTGGTTTCAGCTTGCCTTCAAAACCCATACTGTTTGCCTTTAAGGGGTGGGGTTGGAGGGGTAGGGAGAAGGGGGCAGAGTATACCTTTTGCCTTGTATTTTAATATATGATGTTGTCTTCTTCCTTTGCTAGGTTCTAAGCTTTTTGAAGGCAGGGATTGTGCCTCACTTGTCTTTGTTTCAAGCTTTTAAGGGTTCTACGTATTACTCTACTATGTTCACTTACTGGATGTTGAGTGAATGAACATAAGTGAATATGATGTAATTTTCTTTTCTTAGGAAATGGTGAAACTATAAGCAGGTTTTTTTTTGTTTTTTGTTTTTTTTTTAAAGAAAGATAATATTACATTGCTGTCTCTAGAACAAGCCTGGACTATTTCTGGCCTCTGAGAGGATATATTTACTTACCATTTGTATTCTCTTAACTTCCCAAAAGAATTTGTGTCTGGAGTACTGAGCACATGTATTATTTGTTGGCCCTCTTGACCACCAGGACTTAACATTTATTTTGAGCTTCTAGTTTGAAAAGTGACCTGAATGCTAGAACATGAGGATAGGGATTTGAGCCATCCTAGCCATGTTCTCTCCTTTATTGTTGTTTTAATAAGAAACTTATATAAGACAAGTACTTTTTTTTTTTTTTTGTATTACAGATGATGAAGTCAAGGGTTAAGTCAAGGAAAATGCTTACAATCACAGGGAGTAAATACAGAAGTCGAGTCTTGATCCCAGTTTTGTCCAGCTTCAAAGCCCATGGTCTTTTCATATTCCTTTTTTTTTTTTTTTTTTTTTGGTAGTTGGTAGACTGCCTTTCTAGTTTCTAAACTTAAGGCGTTTCCAAGTAATTTAAGTCATGATTTTTATATTTTATGTCTAGAAATAAAATTTACATAGCTGAGTGAAAATGGGATTCTAAATGGTTTCATTTTAGAAGTCTAATGTTAAACCTTATATATGCTTATCTTAGATGTAGATTCTTTTGCAATTTAGAATCAGTTTGACAAATATGTACAGGCTGCTCAAATGGAGTAGATGTCTGTTATTAAGCATATCTTCTGGGGCGCCTGGGTGGCTCAGTTGGTTAAGCGACTGCCTTCAGCTCAGGTCATGATCTCAGGGTCCTGGGATCGAGCCCCGCATCGGGCTCCCTGCTCGGCGGGAAGCCTGCTTCTCTCTTTCCCACTCCCCCTGCTTGTGTTCCCTCTCTCGCTATCTCTCTCTGTCAAATAAATAAATAAAATCTTTAAAAAAAATTTTTAAAAAAAAGAGCATATCTTCTTATTCTAAACTTTGAAACTCCTGGAGGGCAAATTCCTTTCATTTGTCCTTGTTCCTGAGGTCCCTAGCCCATTGCCTGGTACTGAAGTACTTATTAAATGTTTATGGAATTGTATGGAATTAATAACTCGAAGGTTCACTAACACAAAGAATTTTATTTCCTTTAAATCAGGCATTATTAAATAAGAGACCCTACTCCCCTATGTGTCCCCCTTCTGCATTTTATTTTCTTGATTGTCAGCTAGGTATTTTCGTTCTGGTTTATCACCGCCCCTCCCAACACACAAACACACACTATGTTCTTTTCATGAATGGCATAGGAATTGGGGAATATATAATAATAAGGCAGGCATAGCGATGCCTACAAGGACTTTATCCATATAAGAAATGATTATGTCATTCTTCTGTTATTAGTTGATTTTCATGAGATTTGGAGAATGTTCTTGTCTAATTTAGAATATAGATTGTATGTTATATATGAAATTAGCCTTGGTTGGCCCTGGAAGGAACCCTCAGAGCGTTCTAGAAAATTTTATACTAGGGTACAATAAGAGGCTCATGTAGTTACTAATCTATGGAAACACACCATATATATTAAGGCTTCATGATGAGAGAAGATAATACTTTTGTGTAAAACCCAGATTGGCAGTCAGGTTATATTTAAAGTGTTGGTTTGCAGTTAGTTACTTTTCATGTGAGCAGATCTACATAGTATTCTTCCATTTCTGGATTTGCTGATTTAAATATGGTTAACAATTTTCCAGGGCGAGGCCTTCTTGACCAACTAGTGGCAAGTAAGGGGACAGATTAGTGTTGCTGGTGGGTAGAAGAGGCACAGCCACCATAGTGTATCCTTTTCTCCTGCTGTCCAAGAGCTCTTTGACTTTATTCTTGGGAAAGGAGGCTTATTGTTTCATGTTATCGGGCATTTGGGGGGAGTTGTTGCTGACTTACGGACTCCCAGTAGTAGTGAGAGCAATATAAAGCCCCAGAGTTAGTGGAACATTGGGACATCTGCAGAGACCAAAGGAACAGCTGCAGTAACAGCCATTGCTTAAGTTTATGGTGCAAAGAAGGAAGTAAAATTGGCACAGGTTGATGGTGTGGGACCAACCTCTGGCTTGGTGGTCATTTCAGAGTCTATGAGATGGAAACGGAGTATTCCCTTTGTAAGTCACTGATAGAGGACTTCAGACTTCCTGGTTGATCAAGAGGAGAGATTGTTTCATCTTTCATTTGGGAGGCTGTATCAACAGTGTTTGCAGTTGGTCTCAAAGGAATTGCATTGAACTTTTTAGTCATTTTAAACCACTTAATTTCTTGCCTTTTAGCAGTTAATAAATAAATTAAAATGACTCCGTGTAGTCATTTACATGAGTAAAATGGAAATGCTATTTAAGTGACTATGATGGACAGTTTCCTGAAGGGATTAGTTAAGTGAAGTTTTTAGAAATGTAAGCCTGTGAGCTGCCAGTTAGAAGTGGGAAACTGGAATTGGAGCTGCCAAATCTAAGGTGGCGTAAGGCTTATATAGAAAGGTAAAGCCAACCACAGGAAATCAGAAAAAGTTTGGCTAAAGAGGATAGTATGAACTAAGAACTAGCATATGTTGGATATTAGAAAGTAGAATTAAACAGTTTTATATTCCTGTTGTGGTTATGGCTCTAAGTCCAAATTCCTTTTAGGGTTTCTTACCTTTCTCTGTAGTACCCCCCCCGCCCCCCCCCCCCACACGTCCCCCAGACACACACACATATACAGACACAGGAAGGTGGATTAGAGGAAGCAGCAGGAAAGTGACAAAACAGCAGGGGAGAAAGAAAACCAAATGAAGAGTGAGGAGACCTGGTTTTGGCATCTGACTGACTTCAACAAGTTGCTTAAGAGCCAGCAGATTAAATTGGGATTAATTGGGAATTTCATTTCAAAAGACAGCTTTTGTTTTGGTTTTTCTTCCATAAATCTTTGTGAAGCCTACAAATTGGGTTTTAGAATATTAATGGTCTCTTTCTCTAACTGTATATCCCTGGTAATTTTGAACACACTCAGGGAAAGTCAAGTTATAGAAACTTGAACATTCATATTGGTTTCTTGAGTATGGCTCTGCTATAGTGAATAATCTGGTGGAAGTCAATTCTGCAAGAACTGGAAATAAGGCAACTGAAACTAGTGTATTGATTTACTAACTCATTGTGTTGGAATATGAGGAGAATAAGCAAGTGAAAAGAAGTAGTAGGATCCATAAAGAAGAGGTTAGAATACAGATACCTGGACCCCATTCTTCAAATTCCTGAATCCTAAATACATTTCTGGTGATAGAGCTCAGAAATTGTTTTTTTTGGGGGGGGTAGCCCCCAAAACAAGTGATTCTAATGAAAAGCCAGATTTGGAATTCACAGACTTATTTTTATTCATGAGCACCTCTAAGAGCTATCATTTTATTTTAGGAGTGTTATAGCTGAGGTAGCCTTTCTTAAGCTTTAGCAGCGGATTGGTAAATTTCTTAACCCCGGAACAGTAGAGCCATTAGATAATAGAATTACAAGGGATATTAGAGATAATCTTATACAGAGGCCAACGGACTGTGGCCCATGGACCAAATCTGGTCCTCTACCTGTGTTTTGTAAATAAAGCTTTATTGGAAATAGCCAAACTCATTACTTTATTCATCTGTGTCTGCTTTTGTACTATAATAGTGGAGTTTTGTGTTGCAACAGAGACGATATTGCCCACAAAGCCTAAAATATTTCCTGTCCCTTTACTGACAGAGCGTGCCAACTTTTGAATTGATCAGACCTATCATTCTATATATGTAGAATAAGACTAAAAGATAATGAGCGAAACATTCGGAGATTACACAACTAATTGGTAGTTAGAGTGCAAATGCAGTATAATTCCCTTTTTTCCTGCTTTCAGTCCATTATTTTTTGCTGGAGCAACTGATACCTGAGTAAGATCAGAAAATGTATTTGTTTATAGGTTCATTATTAATTATATTATGAAACACAGTTACTATGAATAGTAGTCCAGGTCTTAGATAACATGGCTGTACAGAAACCTTTTAAATTTGGGTCAGGGGGTAGAACTTGATTGTAGTATATTCTGTTTCCTGAGTATAAATCTTTGGTTTGACCTATTGAGTAGTTTGATAACAAGATTGTTTTCTGTTGCCTGTGCAGCCAAATGGACGGACTGTTGAAGTGGCTGACGAGGAAGCTGTCCGAACTCCTCGAAGTATTACAGCAAAGCAGCCCTTAGAGACAGATAAGAAAAATGAAAAGGTAAGCTTGAGAACATATGAAATTATATGCAAAGCTCTTAATAAAGAGAGTAACATACAAAAATGATGCTTTTCTGTTTCACAAAGTATACATATACTCCCCATTAAGGACAACTGAAAATCTGAATTTGTCATAGCAGATAGGTGGTGCAGGTTTAAGTAAGTTGTTTTGTTTTTTTACTTTTAAAAGGAAGGATATGTCACCAAGTATTTTAAACATGCTGTGGCATTATTAAATACTCATTTTGCCAAAAGAATTTACTCATGACTTGAACATCTTTTATATGAGTAAGGTTCCAGGTATGTAACATCCCTCTTACTTGAAAACAGAACTGTGTTATCTTTGTTAATAGTGCACTTCTGACATAAAAAGCTTACCAAAATTGTTCTGTGGTATTAAGGTTGAAACAAATTGCTGTTCTGATGGAGATATAGTTGTCTTCTTATTAAACAGTTTGACTTTGTTTAACAAAAGAGAATGTTCTATATTCAGGTCATTATTAAAAGGTTTGGATGTGCACTCTTAAGTTTTCAAATAAGACAATCTGTCATACCCCATAAATGATACATTCCTGGGATTTTATTCATTTTTCAGTTTTCAGTGTTAGAACTGACCCAGTTTTTATTTGACTCTATTTAGTTTGTAAGTAGGCAGAATGTAAAAAACTGTTAACAGTGGGTTGTTCTGCTGTGGGAGAGAGACTTTTCATTTAAATCCTTTTGGTACATTAAATACTTGTTCCCCCCTCCCCCTTTAAAACCCTACACATGCATAACTTCTTTTCAAGAAAGACAGACAAAACAAAAAATAACCAGAGGTAGGTAAGTGGTTTCTAGGAACCAGAATGCAGCAGATCCAGTTCTACAGAATAGTAGTATGAAATGGTTGCTACAGTTTCTGAATGCTTGCAATTTCAAAATGTCTTTGAAGAACTGGCAAGATCAGTTCTCCCCCTGTAACCCAATGAAATTGGTCTAGGGCCACGACAGTTGCAGGTGGGATGGCTTAAAATGAAGGATAGTTGTGGGAAAGAGTTGAATTTATGCCTGATTTTGCCTTTGGCAGAAAAATAAATAGTAAATGACTTGTATTAGCAAATAAGGATACAATTTTGGGATTGTGAATTTACAGAATGAATAGTTTATATGTCTAATATGGATTTATACTTCTTCCATCTAAAGTTTCCTTATTTCTGGGCTTTCTACTAGTGAGCATTTTATGCTTGTTCTTGCTTCCAGGTCCTGAATTATCCTATAAAATTTGTAGTTGGAATAATTGATGAACTACCATTCATTTCTGATTGATGAGTTATATGTAGATTGGGTGCATGAGGATGTAAAACTATAGTTTAGAGTTTATAATCATTCTGAAATTTCTGATAGAAAATAATTATAATTGACATTTGTTAAGTATCTGTAATATGGCAGGCACTGTGCAAGGTGAGGTGTGTGTATATGTGTGAATATATTTACATATATCTAGTAGAGACAAGTTACTGAGTACCTACTGGGTATACTTTTAAGACTTTATAGAATATTTATATGTTACTTTATTTATGCTCACAAGAGCACTGAGGAGGTGGTATTATACCTGTCTTACAAATAAGAAACCTGAGGCATAAGTTACCAAAGCTACTAAAAGTAGTCAGTTCTATCCCAGACCCATCTGACTTCAAAGTGTGCTTTCTACTGCTCTGTATGATTTCTGATTATTTCATAAACTCTACAAGGCAAATAGAAAGAGCCCCATCGTACAGATAAGGGCTCTGAGGCACAGAGGGATTTTGCAGTTTCACTCATTTCATAGTTTTCTGAAGTAGGATTTGAATCAGCTCACTCTGGTGCCAAAGCCCATGCACTTGTTAATCACTTGATGGTACCGCCTCCTTTCAGTTGCTGTTGATTTTTAAGGACAAAGCTTCTGCCTTTGGTTTGCTGCCTATTTGATTTGACTTCTTGCATAGTAGTAAATGCTGCAACTCATGGCTAGTGTTTCTTTTTGCCATCTGCATCTTGAATTTATGCTTTTAACCTGGTTCCAGTCCAAGAGACCTCATTTCAGTTAATTTTTTATGCTCTTGCACTGTGTTTTTGTGTGTTTTAAATATGTGTTTTTTAAGACTTTTTATTACTTTTTTTGTAAAGATGCTTATCATAGATCTACTTAAAAACCTTAAGACACATTATTGTCTGTTTTCGTCTCAGAGCCATATCTTGGGCACTTTGAGAAGTACAGTTTGCCTGTAGAATAATTGCAGTCTAAGCTGTGATACTGAATACCTTGCCCTGTCACTTGAGTAAACCTCACAGAGAAAAACATGGTCTAAAAACCATGTATGACAAGAGTTATAGATCTTGGGTCTATAAAGCAAGTTAAACTACCATAGTTGTCTAGGTCTTTATTTGGCTGTGAAGGTCAATGCTTCATTGATACTGGTCTCTAGCAGAGTCCACATAGGACCATTAGCTAGGCTGAATGTATTGTGTTGTTAGGTGCTGAAGGGAATAAGAAGAATGGAAGATGTACTTAGCCCTCAGAGAGATTGCAGTCTAGTTAAGGAAATGCAAGCACAAGAGAAGATACCAGGTAACAAGGCTTTGAGTGCCAGATATTCATAGGAGTAAGATTATTCTATTTGGGTGGCCAGAAAAGATTGACTTAATAGGACTCTTAAGGATGGGGATGGTATTTCAGTAACTAGAAGTGAGGAGGCCAGTTCTGGCAGGTGAGAGAAACAAATGAACACAATCAGACATTATTCAGCTGAAGCAAAAGAGCATATTCAGACATACTCAACGGAAAGCCCTAGACAAGTTTGACTGGTCAGGGTGGAGTGGGGGTATGACAAAAATAGGTATGTTCAGCTGGCAGCAACATTTATGAAAACAAATCAGGTTTGCATCAATGATGATGAGGGTCTGAATTAAAATAGCAGTGTAAAGATCGTTAGAGAAACAATAGAAACAAAAATGTATGAAATTTGGTCACTGTCAGGTTGTTCAGGATGAAGTCAGTGGTATCCTACTGAAATACTAATATCACTCATTATAAGTATTAATAAGCTCTTACATTTTTATGATGCTACAATAATACAAATATTTTCACATCTCTTAGCCCTGATGAATAACTCTTGGTTGGGGAAGGAGGGGAGTATAATCATTTTTTTCAAATCCAGCTCATTAAAAAGAGTTTAGTGGATTGCCCAACATCACATAGCTAGTAAATAATGATCCCTAAATTTTGCGGGGGCACCATTTCTCAAAGTGTGGTTTGTGGACCCCTGGAAAGGGGCCTTGGGGACCTTTCGTTGGGTCCAACTGTTTTCATAACAATAGAGACATTTGCCTTTCTCAGTGTGTTGATATTTGCATTAATGGTACAGAAGCTGTAGCAGGTAAAACTGCTGACCTCCCGAGCACAAATCATGACTGTGACACCAAAGTGCTAGTAGCTGTATTCTTTATTGCAATCCACTCACCATTAAAAAGAAAAAGAATGCCAGTTTCACTTAAGAGTGTCCTTAAGCTGTAAAAATGATCATTATTAGTTTTATTAAATCTTGACCTTTGAACACATGCTTTTTAATTATTTTGTATGATGAAATGGGAATTATACATACAGTGTGCTGTGTAGTGAAGAACATGGTTGTCCTGAGGACAAACACCAGTACCGTTGAATTACAGTCCTGACTAGCCACTTCGTTCATGTTGCTCCATTTTAACATGAAAGAAGAACTGATAGATAGGCCATGGTGATTTAGACTTGGGTATTTGCAGACATTTTCTCAAAAACAGTCAGGATGATCCTGTCACTTCAAGGAAAACAACATTTAGTATTTATTGCAAATGATATAATGATTTGTTTCCAAGTGAAAATTGGAAATTTAGAAAATTTGTATCTGCTACCATGAGCTTGACAGCATCCCAGTGCTTAAAGAATTTCTGATGACATCAATTGTGATATTAACGATTGAGATTTTTAAAAATACTGTATACAATGGAATATTTTAACATTTTAGAAGATGTGTGTGACTCACTGAACCGGTATTTTCCAAATGACCAATGCTTGCGTGTTACAAAATCAGGCAGTGTAAAAGATTCATTCAAAGTGCAGGATGGACCAATAGAGTATGGGAAAGTTTATCGATACAGATTTCATGTTGCAACAATTTTTAAGAAACTACCACTTGACAAGTTTTGGCATAGTGTTTCTTCTTCCTCTGCTTAAAACTCTTCACAGCTGGGCGCCTGGGTGGCTCAGTTGGTTAAGTGACTGCCTTCGGCTCAGGTCATGATCCTGGAGTCCCGGGATCGAGTCTCGCATCGGGCTCCCTGCTCGGCAGGGAGCCTGCTTCTCCCTCTGACCCTCCCCCCTCTCATGTGCTCTTTCTCTCATTCTCTGTCTCAAATAAATAAATAAAATCTTTAAAAAAAAAAAAAAAAAACTCTTCACAACTTCCCATTGCTCTTATGCCACAGTCTTGAACATAACCACTCAAGTCTCTCTTCCTATCCCTGACCCTCCCTAAGCCCAAACACATTGGTTTTCTGTCTTTCTTTTTTATTAAACAGCTTTATTTTGAGATATACTGTAGAATTTATTTTGTTAAAGTATATGATTTCAGTGTATCTGCAGAGTCATAGTGTAGTTTTTGAACGTTTTCCTCTTCTCAAAAAGAAATCTTGTGCCCATTACCAGTCATGCCCATTACCAGTCATGCCCCATTTTCCCTTCTTTTCCTCTTAGCCCCAGCCCCTGTCAACCACTAATCTTTGGTGTAATATCAAAGAAGAATGCAATTATCTGAAAAAACTATTAAGATAGTCCTCGTTTTTCCAGTTATATATGTATGTGTATGTAGCCAGATTTTCTTCATATGCTTCAAATAGTGTATCACACAGTAAAATTAAATGCAAAAGCAGGTATGCAGGCTGTCTTTTATGAAGCTAGACACTAAAGATATTTGCAAAATGTAAAGCATACCACTGTTCTCACTAAAA